TTTGACTTAAACATATACACAAAGAGGAAATTCTATCCCTGTTGACAACTCTCATGTAGGGGTGTCTAGAAAAATAGCAAACCACAACACTACCTTAATCATAGGGTCACGAGTCTCACATCTCTTGATGAACCATAAGATTTCTCTACCATTGATTTTTGTATTTTCTAACCTCATTATCTTTTGCTTTTACTTTTGAGTATGACTTTAAAAAATCACCTATTATTTGAGATCATGCTAAAATATGTTTAGTTGTTTAATAAATTAGAGATTCACACACTATAATAGTCCTTAGTCATTTTCTCATGGAATTGATACACATTGCTCTTTAATTGTATTATTAATTGACATGTATACTTGAATAAGAAACTGACTAACTTTGCGGTAAGTTTTCATCTCGTCATTATGCTCACTCAAATCTACTGTCTTTATGCCGACCAATGCTTACATGAATTTGCACACACACACCACACAATCAATACTGTTAGCTTGTGTTGGAGGTCCATTGGTAGTAGTAACGGTCCAATCAGGCAAATTGGAATCAAACACTGTGTTGACATCTCAAATAATCAATTTAGTTTATGAATTGAAATAGAAATGGTAAATATGAAGACTACAAAGTATCTGAAGCATGTATTGATTCATTAAATTACATACTTGCAACTTCACATGTGATGTCCTTATGATACTTTGTAAAGGAGTCATAAAGCCACCACTTCTTTGAACTCAACTCCGCAAAAAGCATGGTTCAATATTGGCTCTTTATCTATAACTAGGTGATGTCTGATAGTACATACTTTTCCCAAAATTATGGGTTCTCCTCTATTGGACATTTCTATTATCAAGGTAACTTTGTTAGCAGTGAAGCCCAAGAATTTCCCACCAGTATTGAAGACATTTTTCATTAACATCCAAACATTTCAGAATTTTTAGGGTAAGAGAATTATCTTGTTGGTGGGGAAGCATCTCAAAGAATTGGAATAAATTTAAATCCCTCAAAACTTTTATAGCTTCGTTAATTAGGCTTTGACGTAGGTTGTCATAACTCCCCTGACAGCCGAAGGCTTACACCTACAAATTTGCATCCTTGTAGCTATGTCCCTACAAAGCAATTCAAAGAAAACAAAATAGGCATGAAGTTACTATGCTAAAAGAGAGCACTGTAAAGTAGATGCACCAATTTGGTAGTTTAAAAAGCTCACATGGGTGATTAATTTGTGAATACTAGCTATGTAATTTTCCCTTTATTTAAATTTCTAATAAGGAGGAAGTTCATATGGTTAAATAAATTAGCGCACATATCATTCAAATCTTTAATATTACATGAAAAATAATTATTAAACTAATTGCTAATCTCAAATAAGTTTATAAAAGCGAATAACCCATCATTAAATCACAATCAAGTTGTAAGAAATTATAAATTCTAATTAAAATTCATACCCTAAGATGTAAAGTACACCTAAGATGCTTGAAGTTCTTAGAGTGGCATTGGAGTATTATATTGGCCATATATATATATATATATATATATATATTTTATATTGGGGCAGTATTAGGGTAATTTTGTTTTGGTCTTGTTGAGTTTTTGGGGTTTGTGCAATATTGGTGATATTAGGGTGGTGTTGAGGTGGTAATGGTATGATATTATTGAGGTTTTAGTAATGGTACAATGTTGGTGTACAGAGGTGATAATGATGTGATAATAGAATGATATTGGGGTAGTGTTAGGTTGGTCTTGTTGTGGTTTCGGGGGTGGTGTAATGTTTGTGGTATTGGAGTGGCATTGATGTAGTATTAGAGTAATATTGGAGTAATATTGAGATATTTTTGATTTGGTCTTATTGAGACTTTATGGGTGGTGCAATGTTAGTGGTAATGGGGTAGTATTGATGTGGTATTAAAGTTATTTTAGGATGGTAATTAGGATAATATTGGTTCGATCTTGTTGAGTTTTTGGGGATCATGTAATGTTGATAGTATTGGAGTGGTATTGATATGATATTGGAGTGATTTTAGGGTGGTATTGAGGTAATATTAGTTTAGTCTTATTGATTTTTGGGGGTGGTGCAATGTTTGTGGTATTGAGGTGTTTAGAGTGACATTAGGGCAGTACTGGAGTGGTATTTGGGGGTGGTTCTTGAGAAGACATTGATGAACAATATTGAAATGGTATTGAGGTATAATTGGGATAAGAATGAGGTGTTTTAGATAATATATTGATGTGGTGGTATGGGGTTGGAAATTGTGTGGTATTAGAGTGATCTTATGGTTTTTGGGAGAAGTTATTAATGGGTTGTGATGGGGTAAGAGTGTGGGTTTGGGAGAAGATGTTGGTGGTTTGGTATTGGGTTGGTATTGGGGTAGTAATAAGGTAATATTGAGGTGATATTGGGGTGATATTAAGGTAATATTGGGGTGATATTAGTGTGGTATTGAGGTTTTTGAGAGAAGATATTGATGAAGGGATATTGGGGTGAGAATCGGGGTGTTGGGAGAAGGCATTTATGGGGTACTATTGAGTTGGTATTAGAGTGATATTGAGGTACTATGGAGGTTCTATTGGGGTGGTCCAAGGGTTTTTGGCAAAATATATTGTTGGATTTGTATTGGGGTGGTATTGAAGTGATATTAGGGCAATATTCAGGCAGTATTGAAGTAGATTAATAATGCTGTTGAGTTGTGCTATTAGATTGATATTGGAGTGCTTAGAGTTGTAAATGAACCAATGCACTTGATGAACAACTCAAACTGAGCTCGATTTAGACTTGATCATGTTCATTCAAATTAGTAAATAAACAAGCTTTAACAATTTTAAAAACTCGACGCTTAAATGAACTAAACATGAACATAATAGAACTTATTCATTTATGTCAACTAACAAACTCATTTATTGTTCAACAAGTAACTTGTTAAATGCTCAATACTAAGCTCGATGATAGCTCGTATGATATATGATATATTATTTAAATAAAATTTAATTAAATAGTATATTAACTCGTTTGTTGATAACTCGATGATAGCTTATATCATATATGGTATATAAATGCTTGATATTAAGCTTATGTAGGTTTTAAAGTTGACATTTTTAATGGTTAGGAAGGATTTAGTTAAATCATGCTTAAATGCTACACAAATTATTCTACTAAACATCTCCTAAGAGAGAGATTTAGGGCAAAATGAAGGAGAAACGAGCCTTAAGATATTCTAAGTTTTAGAGTTCACAATTAGTAAATTAATAGATGCGATCAAATTTGTCAAATTATTTACTGAATTTTTGTATGAAAATCTCTCATTTGAATTCTTATCTCCTTTATTAACTCGTTTAAATACTCGATCACTTGTAATAAGTAAATCTAGTACAAATCAAGTCCAAATATTGAAAAATTTAATTAAGTCAAGCTTGAACAATATATAAAAGCTCGACACACACTCAAACTGAACATGAATAACTTATGATTATACCAAGCCATGTCCGATTAATGATACACTCGGCTCAATTACAACCCTATGAGTGCTATTAGATGTATCAAGTCTCTTTCCTCACACATTGAATAAAATATTGTTGTCAAATCAAATACATTATTTTTCAGTAATAACTCTATAAACATATATAACACAAATTTAGTGTATGAAACAATACAATGAACAATTGATGCTATAAAATTTGTGCTGGAGAAATATATTTCGCAGTAATAGATAGTTTATACATCAAACCATTAGACATTAATCCACCTCGAAACCCATGTTTTTGCCCTCTTTCACTTCCATTTGCTCATGCAGTATCACGAAAAAAATATCTAAAAAATCCATAAATGAGTTTAGGAGATGATCGACGATGCAGAAATAAGTAATCTAAAATCAAGAGGAGACATTACATAGTCGATACTACTCCGATTCTTCTTAATGAATCTCTTCCCTGCGCCGGTGTCACTCCTCTAAAGATTATGTAGAAAAAAAAAAAACTAGCAAAAAAAGATGAAAGAGGAAGCGACACAGGTTTGAATATACAACTTCTTTTTAAAGTTGTCAAAAAAGCTGAACAGTTTGTGTTCGACTCGTCAAAGAGTTCTTATTTGATTCGTTTGATAAACAAATGAGACAAACAATTTTTTTTTTCATTCAGTTTATAAACGAATCAAACAAGAACAGTAATTTGTTCTATCGTGTTCGAATCATTATTGTTCAAAATATGAAATAATTTAAAATAATTATATATAAAAAATTCATCATATTTTAAAAATAATTATATACTCTAAAAATTTATCATATTTTAAAAAATTAAATCCTATAAATTATAATTTTATCTTCAGGTTTGTCTCTTAGCTTATATTAAATTGTATAATTTCGTATTAATCTTCAAGTTAGTCTCTTAGCTGAGATTTCTTTATATTTCTTTTATATTTATTTAATTTCTTTGAGTTAAACATAGTTTCTGAGAGTGAAAATCTCACATATTGACTCTAGATATGAATTTTTTATGGATGAAATATGATATTATTGTTTTATTTTGAACTATGCTTCGACTATTTTGTATTTGTGCCGTGATTCATACAAGTTTAAGCCTTAATTTCATATAAGTTTAAGCTTTTGAAAGATTTTAAACAATTCAAACAATTCAAACAATACAAACAAATTTGTAAAATTTCAAACATTCAAAAAATTCGAATAATTCGAACAATTTAAATAATTCAAACATTTCAAACATATTTAAAACAAATCAAACTGAACAGGAACAATAATTCACGAATAATTTTAAACACCAGCATGTTTCAAACACATATAATTTCAAACGAACCTAATAGGAACACATACTTTGTTTGTTCGTATTTGATTCTTTCACAGCCTACTTCTTATTGCTGGTTCCGGGCAAAAAAATTATTTTTTCAACCATTTATTTAATATACGGGTTAATCCACAGTATGTGGAGTGCACCACCTCCTTATTACATTTCATGCTACACGTAAGTAAGGTGAATTTATACCCAAAAAAACAAATGAAAGTTTTTCCGAAAATATTTCCTTCCGTCCAAAAGGGTTAGACTCCGCCTAGAGCAACTCTCCTTCCGCCATCGGCGATGTGGACATCCCCACCTAGAGCATCAGTCGTCCTTTCCGCTACCTTTGCTTCGCGGCATGTCGGAAACTCCCTCATTTCTAGGGTTATAAAGAGCTCTTGATCTCGTTGCACGTCAAACAAAAATGGCAATCGAATGTCTGGTTCTAGGCAAGCTGCTTTCTTCACGCATTTCAATCCACCTTCCCTGCTTTCATTTTTTTCTGTCTCTTTATTGTTCCCAATTCGCAAAATAATAAATAACACGCTCTCTTTCTCAATCTATGCATCCTAGGCGCGGGACAAGAGGTGGGCAAGAGCTGCGTGGTGGTCTCGATTGGTGGCAGGAGGATTATGTTTGACTGCGGAATGCACATGGGCTACCTTGATAAACGCCGCTATCCCGACTTCTCCCGAATCACTGAGTCTGGAGATTTCAACTCTGCACTCACTTGCATCGTAATCACCCATTTGTGAGTTGCAATTCTTATCACTCATTCATTTGCCATTTTCTTGTTCATGGTATTGCCGGAGGATCAGATGAATAGAAGTTATTCAGGATGATTTGCGAACAGTAGGGTTAATACCACAAACATTAGTCATCATGATTTAGGAATGAAAAACAGGATTTACAATGCCAACCCGAAATTTTTAGAATAAGACTAATGAAGAGGATATATACTTCGTCTAGAGTTAATTGTGACATTTAGGGTTTAGGCTTTTCGAAGGGTTCACTTGCTACTATGTTCTTCCCACTGCTTAGCTGTTCATTTTGCTCCATTGGTGTTTCATCGTATTAGAACAAAATGTTTTGTAGATCTTTGTTTACGATTTTTCTTTGGACTTACTTATTTGGGATGATGTGTATTACAGCCATTTAGATCATGTTGGAGCCCTTCCATACTTCACCGAAATCTGTGGGTACAATGGACCTATCTACATGACTGTAAGTTCATATAAAATTTTTTCTAACTTGTTGCTTAGCTATTTCTCTTTTTCTCTGATATGCAATGGCATTGGTAATCCAATCTATGTTTTTTCTGTTTTCTTCTGTCTCAAAAGCTACATGCTTAATTTTGTTTTCGGCTCGAGGTTGCAGAGTATTGTGTCTGGTATAAGTTCAAATTATAATCGCATTTTACAAGTCCGTCCCCATCCTCTTTTGTATATCCTATCAAGGATCATCATTCATATGTTAAGGTGGGAGTTTTTGTCCCAAATAATAATCGAGGATCCCGCCATCCTTATCTCTAGTTATATTTTTGTTACAACATATTTCATTGATGAATTGGTGTTGGAGGAAAATTCCAAATTTCATTTTTATGGAAGAAGTATTGATTCCCTTAGTAGCTGTAGATCACCAATTCTTTCCTATTTACGTTTCTAACAAAAGTAAATAAACTTCTGCCAACTCAACATTATCTTTTCATTCCATCACAATAGTTTTTATTGAATTATAAGGCATACAATTTGAAGATATAAGGTGACACTTAATACAATACATTAAATGATGATTTAAATGCACATATCTCTTTTTCTTGAAAAAATGGCTTTAATTTTTTTGACGCTTTTATTTTCTAAGATTTATGAATTGAAAATATTTTTGCATTTTTTCCACACATTGAAGGGTTGAGTTTTGGAGACTTCACGCAGAAGCTCTCAAGTGAACTATAATTTTTCATGAAGAAGCTACTTCAAATCTACTCTAACTCTTCATGAAAAATATGCTTCAAGTTTACTGCAAATCATTATGAAAATGCTACTTGAAGTCAACTCCAAATGTTCAACAATACTATTTATTATCATGAAAGCACATTTTCTTAAAATATAAATTTGAACTCATGAAAATTTATCAGAACAATATGAGTTGATTTCCTATCATTTATAGAAATAATTTATTATTTAGAATTCTAGATTTGTACAAGAATGTTCAACTTTTATTGATTGAAATTATTGAATGCATGTATAATATTTCTATACATGGACAACATCTTATAAACAAGAAGAACATGAACAATTTTATAGTGGTTGGCTTTTTGCGTGTATGTTTGGTCATGCTATATTGGCTTTGGTGGAAAACACTTTTCTCAGCCCAATCCCTTGAAAATATTTGAAGAAAGAATTACTCTCATACTCTACAACAATCCATTTCAATCCTGCCCAAAAATCTATAAAATTGTGGTTAGGACTATTTGCTCTTGGGGAATCCGCTGTTCTTTTATGTTAGTGAACAATGATGGTGAAATTGAATTTGAAAGACACACACAAACTTAAACAAATCAAATTTAAACAATTTAGCATTTACTGCTATATGCAAAACGAAGAAAAGATATAGCTATTAGAGAAGAATTAACCTCAACATCCTTGCCTTTTTATTCTTATTACAAAAGATTTAACTCTAGAATTCAAGGCTCAAGGTTATTGGTATTGTTTTTTTCCTCCATCTTAATACATCACATCCTACGGTAACTTATAATCTCTTGCATATGTGGTTACATATGCCTAATGGTTTCTTGATGACACATGCATACATGCACACTTTTTTTCAATCATATTTATTCTCATATGATGTGTTATATGTAGGCTGAGAATGTTATGTACATTTTTCAATTACATTCATTCCCATATGATGTGTTATATGGAGTTCAAGAATGTTATTAGTGATTACCTTGTTAAGCTTGTGCTTTTTTCATTTTAATCAGTATCCAACAAAGGCTTTGGCCCCATTGATGTTAGAAGATTATCGGAAAGTGATGGTAGAACGAAGGGGAGAGGAGGAGCAATTTAGCTATGATCATATTGTGGATTGTATGAAGAAAGGTTGGCTTTTTTGCTAAATTTACAAATTTCTTCATCCCTATTTTGTGGTTGGTAGATTGCTTTGAATATATCTGGATAGATTGCTTAGTTGTTTTGTTGGTTAAAAGATATAACTTTTTTTTTCCTGGGACCATACATACATATAAGGATGTATTCAACTCATATAATGTTTTGTAAAATTTAAGGAATGTATATTGACTTCCACTTCAAGTATTTTTTCGCTTAGAAAAGTAATTAGGTTAATTACCTCAGCTCCGATGAATTTGTTTGTAAGTTAAATGTGTTGCCATTGGTCTATGGTTTATGTACTAGAATATTACATGTAAGCCTTCTTGACGGGCTGGGATACTTTCTTACACATTATTTTTAAGATAATAATTGATTCCTTCGAGCATTTATACGAAAAGTCAGTGCCATTATCTTGTTCAATACCAAAAAAAACTTTCAAATTTAACTATTTCTCACTTTCAATTGACTTTGTATTTTAGATATGTAGTTAGTACTTTATCTTAGAACTCAAACGATGAGATCAATGGTTCATTTATGTCACGACAACTGGTTTTATTTATGAAAATCAAATAACTTTTTTAGAGATTTTAAGCAACAACATAAACAACAACAATCCTTTAGGCCATTAAGTGAGGTCAGCTACATGAATAATTTTTCTCCTTTATGCCCTATTGAGTGTCATATTTTCCTTTAATTCAAATAAATTAAGATCATTTTTTATGCAACATTCCCAAGTTTTTTTATGTCTACCTTTACCTTTCTTAACTTAAGTCAAATATAAAACATCAACTCTTCTAACTAGGCCATCAGATGGTTGACCTTTGATGTGACTAAACCATCTTAGGCGACTCTCTTTAATCTTGTCTGCCGCTGGGGCTATTCCAACCCTTATATATATTCGTTTTGTATTTTGTCTCTAAGTGTAAAGCCACTCATACACCTGAGCATTCTCATCTCAGAGGCACTTAACTTAATTCTATGATTCTCTTTTACATACCAACATTATCGTCTCATTTTTTAGAGATTTATGCGAAATACGCGTGAAAATTTCATTTTTTTTTTTCAAAAAAGCCAAAACGTAAGTGTAACTTCGTTTTAATATTATCATCTACTTATCCACTTCTTCATGTTTGATCCATCTCCTTAAAATCATTCAGAGTAATGAAATTCATTAAATTTGTTTTCTTCATGCTGTAGTTCAATTACTTCAATATCAGTTTCTCAGATGCTATTATTGGATTCAATAACAGAAATACCTAAAGTTTGTGTTGGTGACTGTTCCCTACTTATATGGATGGTGGACCACCACAACAGTTGTCACTTTTGTTACTTTAAGTTCACTTGTAGCCAAATTTCTCTAAATTAAGATGTGCATGAATTGCAATGTTGGGGTATTATGACTGGGTTAAGGTTTTTTTAATTCAAAAGCAATATAACATCCTTTTTAATAATTATGAAGTGCGTGGAAATATATTAAGGCTTGGAGAAGCTATGAAAATTGAGTTCACACACACACACACACACACACACACATATATATGTATATATAATATATATATATGTATATATATAATATATATATGTATATATATAATATATATATGTATATATATAATATATATATGTATATATATAATATATATATGTATATATATAATATATATATGTATATATATAATATATATATGTATATATATAATATATATATATAATATATATATGTATATATATAATATATATATGTAGATATATATATATATGTACATGTATATATATATATGTACATGTATATATATATATGTACATGTATATATATATATATGTATACATACATGTATATATATGTATACATACATGTATATATATATATACATACATGTATATATATATATACATACATGTATATATATATACATATATATGTATATATATATATACATGTATGTATATATATATACATCTACATGTATATGTATATATATATATATAGATGTATATGTATATATACATATACATGTAGCCAAATTTAGAAGGCATATAGCCAAATTTAGATGTATATATATATATACATATACATGTAGCCAAATCTAGAAGGCATATAGCCAAATTTAGATGTATATATATATATACATATACATGTAGCCAAATCTATATATACATGTATATATATATATAGATGTATATATATATATATAGATGTATATAACACATACTTTGTT